GAAACAAATGCTTCACATTCGTACAAACAAATGCTCCACATTCATACAAACAAATGCTTCACATTCGTACAAAAAAATAGCAACACATTCATACAAACAAATGCTCCACATTCATAGAAACAAATGCTTCACATTCGTACAAACAAATGCATCACATTCATACAAACAAATGAATCACATTCATACAAACAAATGCTTCACATTCATACAAACAAATGCTTCACATTTGTACAAACAAATGCTTCACATTCATACAAACAAATGCTTCATATTCATGACATCCTTGAATAACCTTGAAACAACTGGTATTCTTAACCAAATATAACTCTTATTCTTGAAATGCGAAAAGTCTGACATTAGTAAGTTATGGTTAACAGATTATTCTTGAAATGCTGTTGTTTCAAAAATTTCAAAGAACTTCTTTGTGACGCTTGTTAAAGGTATAGTCCACCTAAACATTGAGGTCAAAGTTATGGCTTGGCCATCTCCAGTTTAACCCGCTGACCGATCAGCAAGAAACACAATCTGCGCGGCTACAGTTAACCGAATATCGTATAACTATCACAGTTAACACTATTACAGTTATAACTATCACAGTTATAGCTATTGCAGTAATAACTATTACAGTTATAGCTATTGCAGTAATAACTATTACAGTTATAGCTATTACAGTTATAACTATTAAAGTTATAACTATCACAGTTATAGCTATTGCAGTAATAACTATTACAGTTATAACTATTAAAGTTATAACTATCACAGTTATAGCTATTGCAGTAATAATTATTACAGTTATAACTATCACAGTAATAACTGTCACAGTTATAGCTATCACAGTTATAACTATTACGGTTATAACTATCACAGTTATAACTATTGCAGTAATAACTATTACAGCTATAACTATTACAGTTATAGCTATTACAGTTATAACTATTAAAGTTATAACTATCACAGTTATAACTATCACAGTTATAACTATTGCAGTAATAACTATTACAGCTATAACTATTACAGTTATAACTATTACATCTATAACTATCACAGTTATAACTATTACATCTATAACTATCACAGTTATAACTATTACAGTTATAACGCCTTCATACGTGGAAGTGCAGGGCGTGTTCAGCAGCATCCCGAGACTCGAATCTTGGACCTTCCAGGCTACATTCGGCATGTTAAACATTATACTCCAACTTTTGTTTGTTTGTTATATAATCACAACACTACACAATGGGTTATCTGGGCTGTGCCCACCAGCGGTGTGAGCCCTCAGACTTACCATTGAGCTACGGGGGGTCTATACTACAACTAAACCTTACAGGTATTCAAAAAATGTTTGAATAGCAAAATAAATAAATTGGCTATTATTTAAAGGAAATGAACTAAGAGAATACTTAAAGTTCTTTAAAAAACCTTCCATTCATAGATGTAGATAACGAAAAAATATACGAAAAAACAACATACAAAACAAAACAGCCTTTGTACTTACTACAGTAAACACACCTAGTTTATTGATGACCTTTTGACCTTTAACTGTAACCATCACATGATTGGATCCATCTGAGTCTTCTGACTTCACTGATGCACCTCTTGGACCTAAATCGAACTCTAGTGACGTCATTCGCCCACTTGGTTTAATTACCCGACTAAGGCGTCCATTTTCGTCGTAAATGTAGAAGAAGGTCCTTCCAGCCCCGTCAGACCGACTGGTCAGCAAACCGGACCTGTCATAATCGAAATAAGTCTGCAACCCATCAGGGTCAACTAGGGTTTCCAACAGACCCTTCTTAGTTACCTGGACGCTGCACTTTAACCCTCTGGCTGTCTCAATCGTATGAAGACTGTTACCAGAATCACGCAGAAACGCAACTTTGTTTCCCGAAGCGTCGGCCACAGCCGTGAGTTTTCCAAAACTAGTATTTACGTTGTACAGGAACGTGTACTTTGTCTTTCCAGTAAGAATATTCTCTGTCTTTATATGCTGACCATACTTGTTAAAAACGTAAACCTCGTGCTTATCCGGGTAGGCTATGTTGAACTCTACTTTAGCGTTGTGCATAGGAAGGTAAGGAACAGCGGACAAAATTCGCAAGCTTCCTTGGTCAGCAATGTGAACCACGTTGTCACTCGTAACGGTCAATGAAGAGACGGCAAAAAGCTTGGTCTCCATAGCCAGAGAATTTTCTTTAAACACGCACGTGCAGTTCTGCCATTCGCAAGGGCAGGTTCTGTCTTTTCCTGCGAAGTGTAAAATTTCTCCATCCGGGGTCACCACTCTGATTCTGTGGACATTGCGATTAACACCTTCAGCGATGTACATGACACCAGTTGGACCGAAAGCAAAACTGACCAAAGACCGAAGATTCGTTTCAGTGGTCATCCTAGATTTATGGTTCGTTTTTGTATTCGTTTTGCAGTAGACTGGTTTTCCGGCAACTACCATAACTCGTCTGTCTTTGGTCAGTTTCCAAACCATGTGATCATCAATAAAATATAAATCGCCATCTATTGGATTAATGGCTAATTCTGTCGGCCAGCGTAGCTGTACCTAAAGAAAACAGAAACTACATAGTGTTATGACTGATTATCTTGAATAAGTACGAGATAGTACATAGTGTCATATGCAAATGATTATAATTTAATATCTTAAACAAGAAACGTTTGACCAAGAAGAAGTAATCTTTATATCCCAGAACATCGGTGGAATCCATTTTAACCTGACACATGTTGCCTTGGAGAATACTATCATCGTCTGATCAGCAGATGCATATACTGTATTAGTGTTAGTGGGATATTCTCCTCACCATATACTGTATTAGTGTTAGTGGGCTGTTCTCCTCGACAGATATTGTATTAGTGTTAGTGGGCTATTCTCCTCGACATATACTGTATTAGTGTTAGTGGGCTATTCTCCTCACCAGATACTGTATTAGTGTTAGTGGGCTATTCTCCTCGACAGATACTGTATTAGTGTTAGTGGGCTATTCTCCTCACCAGATACTGTATTAATGTTAGTGGGCTATCCTCCTCACCAGATACTGTATTAATGTTAGTTGACTATTCTCCTCGACATATACTATATTAATAGTACAGTAACAGTACTATATAGTACCTGATGATGACAAAACCTTGTCGAAACGTTGTACATTTGCTGTCATGTTAAACTTATATTAAAGTTTTTCTTCATTACCCATTTAAGCCGTCTCCAGCCATTAATACTATATTAATGTTAGTGGGCTATTCTCCTCGACATATACTGTATTAATGTTAGTGGGCTATTCTCCTCACCAGATACTGTATTGTGTTAGTGGGATATTCTCCTCACCAGATACTGTATTAGTGTTAGTGGGATATTCTCCTCACCAGATACTGTATTAGTGTTAGTGGGATATTCTCCTCACCAGATACTGTATTAATATTAGTGGGCTATTCTCCTCACCAGATACTGTATTAGTGTTAGTGGGATATTCTCCTCACCAGATAATGTATTAATGTTAGTGGGCTATTAGTGTTAATTTAACTGTAGACTACACGTGAACAATATACAGATCATTGAACAGTGTTTATAGATAATCTGGACATTGTATTAAGGATTGATGCTTGGAGTTTATACATGATAAATTACCAGCACAGAAAACTTTTCTATATAAAAACGTACGTATAGCTTTAAGAGTGAATAGAAAGATAACGATGACGAAATGATAAAAGTTCCGTTCCGCAGTTCCTGTGACGTAATCTGCTAGCGACTTTTCTTCAAGACATCCATCACTCAGAATACACGATCACACCTCGTTCTTTTCATATAACAGATGTTGTTAAAAAAAAACCCGAAAGAATACACGTTTTGGACGGTAAAAATGTTGCTTTTGTAACCTATGACACATTATACATCAACCCCCTACCTCCCACTCTGCACCGTCTCTATAGAAACTTCAGCTTTTTTATACAAAGTTCGGTAAAAATCAGTATTACGTTATTCTCAAGTTCTTGAAATAATTCTTATTTAGACATTACAAATCATATAGAAAGTTATTACAAAAATAACAGAATTATGTAGAAACTATGTGATGATTACAATGTTTTAAACTGGCGTGTTCCAGTTTCGAAGAATAATAAATAAATCATCAGATTTATTACTTCTTAAACATTATCTCTGAATTATTACATTTTTAGTTATTACTAAAAAGAGTTCAAATAAGAATAAAACTAAGAATTTTTCACAATTCAAATTTACTCACTTCTTCCATACTGAGTGTTCCGGAACAAGGTATAGGTCTCCACCGGCGTTTGTGGTGATGCTCCCCTATCAAAGTGTGGACTATTCCTCTGTTGTCCACCTTTCGAATGTTAGGTCCGTCCGCGAAATATAGAGAACTGTCTACTGCAACAGCCATTCCTGTGATAACAGGAACAAAAATAAATTAAACACTAAATAAGACAGTGTGTGTGTGTAGACAAGGAACAAGAATACATTAAACACTAAATAGGACAGTGTGTATGTGTAGACAAGGAACAAGAATACATTAAACACTAAATAGGACAGTGTGTGTGTGTAGACAAGGAACAAGAATACATTAAACACTAAATAGGACAGTG